CGTGTGCCTCCGCGAACCCTCCGGTGTCGCCTGGGGGCAGCACGCGGAGCAAGCAGTTGCAGCGCGGTTGGGCGCACAGCAGCAGGAGCAACCACGCGCTTTGCACGTGCGGCACACACGGTATGCGGTCCAGCAAGACCGCATGCTTTTCACTGACGCTCTCCAACGACCGGGCCACGTACGCTGCGTGCCCGAGCGGCGTGCCCAGAACGGTAATGCCCTGCGTCTCCGGCGCCCGCGTGCAGCGCGTCTTATCCAAGTGCACGCGGACATTCGCGCGTTGCCATAGCGCAGGCCCACTCGTGACGTAAACGTCATCGAGGTAGGCATACAGGTCCTCCTCTGGGCCCAGGGCAGTGCGCGCTTGCAGCAGGGCAGCGTGCTGCCCAAGAGCGTGCAGTGCCGGCATGAGCGGGTCGCCTTGCTCGCCGCCCTCACCCTGACGGATCTCATGCACGGCCCCTTCCGCATCGTAGAAGACATAGGTGCTGGGCTCGGCATAGAACTGCGCGACAAAAGGGAGCAACCCGGTCAGGCCTGGCGTCCGCTTGAGGCCGCCCAACATGCAGGCCCTCGAGATGTGGTCGTAGGCGCCGACGCCGTCAATGCTGAGCACCGTGGTGCGCGCATCGAGCTCCGTGGCCGCGCGCACCGCTCGCGCGAGGGACTCTGCCCCCAAAAAATAGTCACAAGGGCATTTGTAACATCAAACCCAAAAACTCAAACAGCATACAACAAAATACACTGTACACACAATCCACAGAAAACAGATAAGAACCACCAAGCAACTCAAAAACCAGAACAACCCCCAACAAAATATTTAATCAAAGCATACAACATTAAACAATTCAAACAAGCATACCAACAAAACAGCAAAAATAAAAACCATCAAAGAACACAAACTCAAAAACACACACTGACAAATTTCAAAGCAGTATACCAATAAAAATATCAGAAAAGTATCAAACAAAATAAAATACAAACAGTCAAAGCACGAAAAAATCAAAGGAGCATACCAAGTTCAAACAACGCACTTTGAAGAGTCAAGCAAATCAAGAAAAAATAAAATATTTCAATCTTTACAAACCATAAGTATAGTATAATTATAACTATACGATTTTACATGTTAGTATTATATTATGATTATAATTTCAGTTCAGGATAATAATTTAATTGATTTGCCTTACTTCTTTCATACAACATTTTAAAAATAATATTAATATCTCTCACTGAATTTTGAACATTAAGCTTTTTACTTTCAATAAATAATTTGATATTTTCTTTAACATCTTCTCCTTTCTTTTGACTATAACCCAACATCCATAATATATCACAAATCATTTCATATTTTTCTTACTGATTTTAAGAAACTGTTTAACATAATCGTAAGGTGGTATTCTATTTACAGTTAGAAATATTGAAATCTAAAGTTTGATTATCTCTCCAATTTATACAATTTTCACATTCGTCTTCTTCATCGATTGAATAATTAATAATATTATTCACTATTTCATTAGGTAAATTCAATTTATACAATTCCATATTTTCTTTTTTGAAGTGACAACAATCATGGCATTTTTTATTGATATAATTATTGGTATAATTATTGATTTTATCACCGTTCATTTTCCTCTTATTATATTAAGGCACTATTTCTTTAAGTCATTTGTAAGGCATTAAGAAAAATTAAGAAACAAACCATAAGTATAGTATAATTATAACATATAAGATTTTACATGTTATTATTATAGTATGATTATAATCTCAGTACAGGATAATAATCTATTGACAAATCTTACTGATTTCATACATCATTTTAATAATAATATTAATAGCTCTCACGGTATTTTTCACATTAAAATTTTTGCTTTCAATATATGATTTACTGTCTTCTTTTACATTACACCCCTCTCTTCTACGATTTAACAATATCCATAAAATGTGGTCAATCAGTTCATACTTTTCCCCTTACTGAGTTTGAGAAAAGCTCTAACATAACTATAAGGTGGTCTTTCATACACAGTTAAGAATATCAAAATTTCATCTTCAACATTTCTATTACTTCTTCTTTCCAGATTTAAATGATATCTGATCAATTCTTGATTATCTCTCCATTCCTGACAAATTTTACATTCATCTTCTTTACCCAAAGCATAATCAATAATATTATTAACTATTCCATTAGGTAAATTCAATTTATACAATTCCATATCTTCTTTTTTGAAGTGACGACAATCATAGCATTTTTTTATTGATATAATTATTGGTATAATTATTGATTTTATCACCGTTCATTTTCCTCTTATTATATTAAGGCACTATTTCTTTAAGTCATTTTTAAGGCATTAGGAAAATTAAGAAACAAACCATAAGTATTGTATAATTATAACATATATATGATTTTACATGTTATAATTATATTATGAGTTCAACTCTATTTCTAATTAATTTTAAAATCCTTTTTTCAATTTGTTTCATTATTTTATCAACTGTTTTTTCATTATAAATATTATTTCCTATTTCTTTTATAAACACCTTCATTACACAAATTGCATGTCTTGCTGTGTATCTAAGTTCGTGAGCTTCATACTGATAATTTAAAAACTCATTTTCAAAATCAGAGTTATTCTTATTCGATGCTTCGTACTTTAAACGTTTAATGCTAAAAGACATATTGTATAATCTTTTTACCATTCTATAAATAAACTCATCAACATGTCCATCATCTAATACATTATCAAATTCTTTTTCAGTAAAGAACTTATTCATTTCAATAAACACAAATATTTCTAAATCATCATCAAGAGCTTTAGCATTTCTATTATCAGTATCTTCGTTATTCATATAATCAATTTTGTTTATAATTTTATTGCAATTATTGCATATCATATATTGACAAATATTATTACTAACACCATCTATAAAACCCTGTTTAATTGTTAATTTAAGCATCTCACAGTCTCTACATTTATAACTGATAAACTTTTGTTTCATTATAGTTTTAGCATTGACACCGACTGTATCACTATATTCACTTTCTGTATCACTCATTTTCCTCTTATATTAAGTTATTAAATCTTTAAGTATATATTTTCTAAAAAGTCATTTAAAGAAATAAACACATTAAATTTATATAGTATAGTATTCTGAAACATGTTATAGATTATCTGTTGAATAATGATAAAGCGGAAACTCCAAAAAGAGGAAACAAGGAATTAACATCAATAACTATAGATGGTAGAAAATTTAGATACAATAAAATAAAGAAATTAAATGACAAATATGACCATCCACAATATGACCATCCACTTCGTTCTTCACACGATTTTCCGTTTTTTGCCCAAGCACGGCAGCCTGCCAAGGTCCTCGCTCATGACACGGCAACCTGCCGAACTTGTCACCGCCTTCGTCACCGGGTCTAACACGCCAACCTACCGAACGTCCAGAGGGACTTCCAGGGCTCGAAATCTTGGCAAGTTTGAGTGAATATGGAATCGGCTTCAAACAATATTGGTTCATTAATGGGCAAAGGTTGCCCGGTCGCAGGCGGGATTCGAGCCCCAGACCAGGGTGGTGCAGAGATTGTGCTTAACCACTGAGGCAAGGGAGCTTCTTTTGCTGGAAAAAGCAGCCCGCCGAGCTTGTCACCGCTTGTCACCGCTTGTCACCGCTCACTGGGTCGCGCTTTTGGGTGGAAAAAGCAGCCCGCCGAGCTTGTCACCGGTATGTAACCGCCGGGTTTCGAGCCCCGGACGCTGCAAATCGCAGAGACCGGGCTTGACCACTGAGCCAATAGATCTCTTGGACATGGGCGCTTTTGGGTATAAAAAAAAAGCATCACCGCGTCACTGCGGGGCGCGAACCGCCGGGATTCGAGGTGTCCCACGGTCCGTGTCAACCCGTGACACAAGCTTTCGTAATCTTCCAAGCTGCAAAGCGAGGCCGTCGGCTACAGGGGTGGTATGACGACCTGGACCAGGGAACTTGAATTGAAGGATATTTTCCCTCAATTCATGTACACTTCCTGGCCCAAACCGACTCCAGGGGTGGTGCGAAGTTACAAGGACGTTATAAATTACGACAAGGACGTATACATTTATCACGCTCCGCGTTACAAGTACGTAGCCCACGACCTGACTTCGGTCACTCCTAAGAAAACATGTTTGAAGGACCTGTCACTCTGACGCCCTACGCGCAAGTGGCAGACCTGGCAGTGAACACGGCAGCGTCCAGCAACAACGCAGCCTCGAAGCTGGACAGCCGCACGTCGGCCTTCGACGTGCTGGAGGGCGTGGTGGCCACGAAGAGCACCCCCGACGGCGTGGACCTGATCGAACTACAGCACCACGGCAGCCATGAATGGCTCCATCGCCTCGGCCAACAACGCCACGGTGGCAGCCAACTACGGCCTCAAGACGGTGGTGGACCAGCAATCCCTCGACATCGCAGCAAGGATCACGCCGCTGGAGGTCGACACCAAGGTGGCCAACGCTCTCCTGGGCGTCGTCACCGCCGCAGCGCTGGCCTCCTGCGAGCTCGCAAGTCGAGACGCCTCCAGGCCTCCAAGGCAGACGCCAGCGCCTTGAGCGCATACGCCCTGCAGTCGGCCGTCGACACTTCCTCGGAGGTGGGCTCTAAGATAGCAGCCGCCCTCCTGGACGCAGTCGCCACGGCAGCCCTCGACGCCGCCCTCGCCGGCAAGGCGGACGCAAGCGCACTGGCCGCCCTGCTCTCCACGGTGGACGGGTTGGTTGGACACGCCGCTGGAGGTAGACACCAAGATAGCAAATGCCCTGCTGGGTCTCGCTACCGAGGCCTTCGTCGCAGCGCAGCTTGCTAGCCGGGATGCCAGCATCTCGGCGCTCCAGATGACAACAAAATGCTGCTATTGGCACTTGTTTTTCTAACGCATCCACGTGACTCAAGGCCTAGAAGGCAGCGGGCAGACACATGCAAGACTCCTAGGCATGTGAAATGATTCTCACAGCCTCCAAAAATTCTTATGCCCGCGACTTCAGGCGATGCTCGCCTTGTCTGCCGCGGTTCAAGACTTCATCTTCTTCCTCGATCACGAGGCTGTTGCTCTTTAGCAACTTCATCATCGGCTCCATGTGAGCCTTGAGCTTCGTGAGAGCATCTGCAGGGTTGAAGTTGTGCGGAATCCACCTCATGCGTCCAGAGAGCTTCGCGATGCTCTCCTGGATGATCCCAATCTCCAAGGCTGACCTGTCGTCGTCGCCTTCCGATGCATCGTATGACCGTGCCAGGTCCTCGAAGCCCCATCTGTACCTCCTCGGACACCTCCACAGCTGTTTCCCGAGGATCGTACTTGGACTTGCAAAAGCTTTGCCACACCGCCACCTGTTTCTCCATCGCACCCAAAGCTGTTGAGAGCGCTATAGATTCGCAAAGCAGCGTGTTGCCTGCTTTCCGACGAAGTCGCCTCGATTTCCAGCTCATCAAGCTTACCGGAGCAACTTCACCACGGTTCAACTGCGGTGTTGTAATCGCTTGAATCCATCCATGCTGAGGTTTGACCTTGCCCGTGGGGTCATAGGAAGCGTCCGAAATCACCAGGTGCCGAACCTGTTCTTCGGGGATGTGATGTACCTTCAGCACCTCAGATGATCCACCACCTGATTGGTTTCCAGAACATGCTGCATCACGGGCTTCTCGAAACAACCAGAGAGGATGCTTGCAGCTGCTGAAACGTCAGGACGTCCCTCACGGGCTATCCAGTTGATGGCTGCAACCACTCCTCGCAACTGTTGAATCTCGTCCTCCTTTAGGCAAGTGGTTGAAGCGTCCTTCTTCAAATACTTGCGTTCCACCCGAACATACTTCAACCTGTTCTTGATGTAATCCGCCATGGTATACTGAAAAGAACCATCTGGGCCTTGCATGATCCTGCGACCTGCGTAACCAGTGCCTTCTGGATGTTCTTGAAGGTTGATGATCTTGCCGAACTTCAACTTCTTCTCAAGCCAGGCCATCTTCTCGCGGTGTCGCTCGTTTCCGGACTCCAAAATGTCGTCCACCTCCACCACGATGATTCCTTCGGTCGGATGTCCAGGAATGCCTGACTTGTTGTCCAAAGTCAGCACACACCTGTCGTAGGCATTGACCCTGTATCCCTTCTCCACCACGCCGGTCCTGATACCAACCCGTACACTTCGGTGTTCAGGAGAAGCAACTGCCTAGAGTCTAGTCCGGGCAGTGCCTCATCCGAGGGTTGCTTCACCGCGAGCTTCTGCTTGCGCGTAGTGGGCTTCGACTGGAGGAACGCCGTCTTGGCGTCTTTGACGAAAGCGCTCCATTGCCTTCCTGCGGTCAAGGCCATGAAGAGATACATGCTCGAAGTCATCGGGGTGGGAGCTGAGCGTTCGATCTGATGTACCATCGGATCTTTCCAACCAACCACGCACCATCGCGACTTGGGGGCCACCGAGGTAGTGTGTCCCGAACCCACATCTGCTGCATTGAAGTCTTCGGGCAACACTGCAAAGTCCTCGGTTGGCTTCCATCGATCCACGAACCTTGACGTGAGAACGTGTTCAGGATGTGCTTGAGTGAAGGCTAAGCTCTCCTCGATTGACAGCACCGTGATCGCGCCACTGTCGGTCAGAGATTTGAACTCCTTGGCTCTGGCTTGTCGAAACGTTTGCTTTTCGCTGTTCGGCAACTTGGCAAATTCCACCTGTCCAGGCGATTCCTTCGCTTTGGCCAAGTAGAAACGCTTGTCCTTGTTGCTGAAGAAGCACACGGAATCTTCCAACTTGAAGGCATGTGATGACTTGGCCTTCATGTACCAGACGCCGCGAATCCGATCTTCACACCATTTGGCCCCATCCTGTGTCTCCATGTTCTGGTCGTAGACTTCGAAGAGCGTGGTGTTTGACCTTGCGGTTGGCCACGGTTGACTCTCCACATTGGAAAAAGGATATGGCATGGCCCTGCTTGAACTCTGCCGCACTGGGCCAAAAGACATTTCGCCACCTCGTCCTTCGTCTACCAGAGTTGACGCTCGACGACTTGTCAGTCGGCTCGCATCGTTGATGGCCGTAGATGAAGACTCCGAAGGTGCCGCTGTGCTTGCCACTTCCAGTGCTGGTAGTTCATGGGGTTGTGGTTGATCGTGAGGCTGATCCACTTCCATGGGATTCTGCTGATCTGCCATCTCACCTTCCTCGCCACCGAAAAGTTCGGTAATATCCTCATCAACTTCTTCTCGATTCGGGGGCAAACGTCGTCCTCGCGGGCGCAACTGAATTTGAACTTCTTCTTGCTGTTCTTGTTCCCTGGCAAATGCTGTGGCTTCCTCTTCCAGATCGCGGTAGTGTCTGATGTTGCCAGACTCCAAACCTTCCAGCATCTCAGCACTGAGAACCTTGACCAGCTCCACACCGAGATTTTCTTCTGAAGTCGCGTGCCTGAGGTGTTCCTTGGACACTTTGAGAAGATATCCGCGGAGAGACACCCACAGCGAACGATTGTTTTCGCTGATTGCCACCACAACTCCAGGTCCAGACCAGCCACGAAAGTTGTTGTTCTCTCGCCACACGTAAACTGTCTCGTTGGGCTTGAAGTCCTTGAGGTCGGTCATGCGCGTGTTGGCCTTATCAGCTCGTCGGACAGCATTGTTGTCCTGAGCTCTCATCCAAGCTCGAGCTGCCGCATCCCGTATCTCTCGAGACCTCGCCATAGTATCTTCTTGGCTCAGATGCAGTTCGCGGTCCAGGTAGTCGTCTGAAAGCAAAGCTGCGGGGAGCCTTGGGTTGTAGCCGAACACTCGTTGATACGGGCTGAACCCCGACCGGTCATAGTAGCGGCTCCGCGCCACTTGCGTAGCAGCTACTGCCATCTGCATCTCCTCCTCGGTCTGGATGGTCAGCTCGTGTATCACCGTCTCCAGCGTGCTCTTGAAAGAGCCCCCAAAACGCTCCACACGCCCGTTTTGCCAAGGACTCGCCACATCTGTGTAGTGCACAATGACGCCCAAGTCGGTGAGGGTGTCAGCGAACTTGCTCCCGACAAATTCACCGCCTTGATCACATATCAACATTCTCGGAGCCCCATAGTGGGCGAACCACGTCCTCAGCAAGGCTGCGGTGACTTGCTCGGAGGTCTTATCATTGATCATCTCCACGATCTGCAGACTCGTGCCGAGGCAAACCACGTTCAGGAAGACCCTTTCCTTGATGAAGAATAGGTCCACGCCTATGCACTCGTTGAAGCCCATGGCTCTTGCCAGATGCCCAAGTCGTTGGGAGCCAGGCTTCTTCCGCCTTTCGCATAGCGGGCACTTGAAGTACTTCTTCGTCCAGGCCAAAATCTCCTGCTTCGCTCCTGCGTGACGTAGTCCACGAACGAATGTCTGTAGGTCAGGGTGACCCAGATTCCGATGAACTCGATACAGTTCTCTCCTCAGCTCCGGATGTAGTTGATCATCGCCTTCTTGGTCTCCTCGTCCAAGTTCTTCTGGTAGAACTCGAGACCGTAGTTCTTGGTCTACTCGTTGTTCGTCCCCGCGTTCTTGACCTTCTTTTGGATTGCGTTGTTCTCTGCCGTCTGAATGAGCCGACGGCACCGCTCTGTCAAAAAGCTTCCGAGTGGGATATATGGCACACCACTCGGCTTGGAAAGCACCCTCCGCTGTCACATACTCCTGAATGGGGTGTGCAGCGGCTGCTGATATCCATGTTGCCCGATTCTGGTAATCGGAGGGCAACATCACCTCGCTGATGAGGTCGAAAGCCGTAGTCCCAGTCCACCGTTGAGCGGAGGAACTCGTCGTAGTATTTGTGTGGAAACGCCAGTCATCCACTGACTGCTTCGTGCTTCCATCCTCATAGGTCTTGGTCGTTGTCCTCTTCCCAGTGAACTTCTCCACGGGGAAGTCGAATGCCTTACACTCTTCAAGAGTGCACAGGTTTTGCCGCGGTTGGAAATGCCGGCAAATCAACTGGTTGTGTCGAAATTCCCAGCGGTCCTTGAGCTCGACCACTGGAAAATAAGAAGCTCTAATGTGCTTCCTTAGCGCCTTGAGAATCTCGTCCACGAACGGTTGTGGATATACTGCTGCGTTGTTGGCTCGTCGATCTCCCACCAACGGTTGATGCTGTGCATGATGACCCTGACATCTCCGGTTCAGGGCGTCGGCAATCTCCTGAATGTTCGTGAGAATGAGTGTAGGCTTCTTGGCGGGCATCATCCTTGTCCTTGATGAGTCCGGAGTCTGAAGCCCAAAGCGGCACATATCCAGAGCCACTGCCTTGACTTCCGGATGTTGCTTCAGCTCCTCAAGAGAAGTCGTTGTCCAAGACTTCGCCAGTAGGGGATGCTCGAACACGAAGCCTCTGCCACCGGAGAGCTGAATCAAAGCAATGCGTACTGCGTGTTCCACATGAGCTCGTCCTTCTGCTTCTTCTCGTCGAACATCTTTCTGATTGCGCTTGTAGTTCGTGAGGGCTCGCAATTGGCTGAACACCGTGCAAGGTGGGCTGAGAACTACTAGAGCTGGTCTCAGTCGTCTGATGAGGTCCAGTGATGCTTGTCGATGGTCAGCACGATTGAAATCCCATCCGGTGACCAAATCTAGCGAAGCCCCGGGTCGAAGTCCCAACCTGCTCGCACGTTTGGCCAGTCGCGGAGGGCTGTAGACCTCCATGACGTCCACATTGGTGTTCTGATTGATAAAGGCAGTCAGGTAGTTCTGCTCCTTGCGTTCCAAATTGCATACTCTTCCTTCCTGATCGGTCATCCACGAGTGCATGTGCTCAGGCTGTTGGAACACGTAGCACCACTCGTCGACTTCTTGATGTCGCTCATTATTGTCTGAGTACAGGTCGATGTCGTCCCAGAATCCTTGCTCGGATTGCCAGCCGTAAACCTGCACCACGTTTCCGATCAGGTGTCCAGGAATGCTTTCCAACGTTCTCGAAGTTGTGGATAGGTAGATCATGATCGTGGTCATGGCATAACCCAATCGGGAGAGCTTTGCATAGAGCTTCTTCGCCTTGTCGCTCACGAACAACTCCTTCTTTGGTGTCACAAGGACGTGGTGATGTCCGGGAAGCGCGTGCTTTTCTACCCCACCACCGTCATGTCCTCGTCGATCCCATCGCTGCTGTGTGAGCTGAGTTCGTACAGCTCCGGTTCCGGCTTGTTGTCTCGGTTGGGCGTCTTGGACCGTCGGGCTGTCCGTAGGCCCGATGGACGCCTCGTCTTCTTGTCCTCGTCGACCTTCTCCTTCCCGACCTGAGCGTCGGCCTGCATGGGATCCTTGGTCGGGCCGGAGGTCTTCAGGTCGGCCGCGTCCTTCTGGTTCACGTTGTCCCCGGTCGACGTCTCGTGCTTGTTGTACTTCTTGTGGGTCGCAACCTCGGGCTTGCCTGTGCGATTGATGATCACTTCCAAATCCCCCTGCTCCGGACGGGACCTTGGTGCTGGTAGGAACTGAGGATACTCCACGCCCTTCTTGACCACCAGTTTCTGAGCTTGTGGAGCTTCCGGTGCCTTTGATGATGCTGGCGTTCCCTGGATGTTGGCATTCCTTCACTTCCAGGGCCCAGTGCTTCTGTGCCAGCGACCTCGAAAGTGATTTTCCGATGCCCTGAGGGATTTCTCTGTCCGGGTCCTTGGACTTCTTGACTTGGGACCTCTTGTTCTTGGTCTTGACGTGCTCCTCGTTCTCGGCATTGTGCTGTGCTTTCTTCGCCATGTAGTCCACCACTGCCTGTTGGCGCGCGGCAGCCAGCATCGTTGAGAGAGCCAGCACCATCCGCCTCCACATGGACGCACTTGGTAGTCCTCATCTTCTTGACCTTCTCCTGGTCGCCGTCGCTGTCCAAGCAAGCCATCTTGTCGATCTTCCGCCGTAAGTCCATGGCTCTGGAGAAGTGCCCAAAGAAGGGGAAAGCGAATTGCGGGACTCCGTGTCCACTTGAGCATGTTGCTGCCACGGCGACGTGCACAATTCCACCAGGATTGCCGCAATGTTCGAGGCATGCAAATCTCAGTTCATCAACTGCTGGGGCCTCACTTGGAGCCTCGATGGCGAAAAACGCGCAATCACCCTTAGCAGCACCACCCGTGTAGTTTTCGACATCGAGGTCACAGTCGGCAGTGCCAGGTGACATCTGTACACAAGAGCGAACCGATTCTACTTCATGATCTGCATGATCGCGATGCCCAGGCCCTGACTGAAGCGTCGATGCTGAACTTGGGCATGCCGGTGAAGCTGAGGCTGCAAAATGCGCGCCTTCATAATCTGCAGGCGACGATGGACTCTTCGTATCACCACCCGGAGAGGAATCTTCGTACGGCGCACCCGCATTGAATGGCTGATCGGGTTGTGGGCGCCGTTCCTGAAAGTACACCTGACCATGCCAATCTTGAGGAAGAGCCCGATGAGCCTGAGGTGCATTCCATAGGTCCTTCACCCGCATGACATGGCCGTCTCGGTAGACCACATTGATGTAGCGATCGGGTAGTGGGTCCACTTCTTCACCCAACCGACATTCTGCCGGAGTCGGCAGATGCCGTCGCCATCCCGGCAGCACTGCGACGCGCTCTACGCGGTTGTTCTTATCTCTCAGCCAAACCTCCAGAAATGGATTGGTTGCAAGGAAGCGTGACAAACCTTGAGGTTGTTCTGTATGAGATCTGGCCCTCGTTGGTGTTCTGGATCTGGAACCGTGCCGTCCTGGGGGTTCGGAATCGTGCTGGGCAGGTAGGGCATAAGGATCCTGACCTTCCGAATCTCTCAAATTGTCTGGCAGTTGCCAGGCACACGTGCCAAAATTCAGGATGTCGATTGCCCGATGTCCGGTGGGCAACCTAACCATCTGATCTGATCGTCCATCCGGAAGGTGATACCTGCCAGTATCAAAATTCACTATGGCCCGAACCGCCTCCAGGTAACTGACCGGCAAGAGTGGTGGAGTTTGGAAGGCTTCCGAGTCCTGGATGACCGTGAAGCGAATGATGCCGTTCACACCTGCCACATTGGTCGGAACGTCCACCACCTTGCAAATCTCCTCCAATGCCGGCGCATGGCAGATGCCTTGCCGATTTCACCACACGCGGCCTAAGGTTCCAGTTCCTCAGACTGGATTCCATTCTCGCAAAGGCCTCACTGCCGCACACAGCATCCTCTGCAGCGGTGTCCACCAGAGCCTGAAAATCCTGACACCTCACTCCTGCGAAGATGCTAATCCTCCTGACCAAGGGTCCATGATCTCGAAGTGTTCCGGGAAGGTCTGCAGGTTCTGCTTGGTCGAGTCTTTCGGGACTGTCTGGTGCTACACGCTCGGCACGATCGGGCGGCAACCTTCGTGGACTCATCATGAAGGCTGTCGATTGATTTGCACCCGAGCTCACGATGAAGTTGAGCTTCTTGTCCTTGCCTCGATCTCCCTTGCCCCCTCCATCGCCGCCTTTGAGGAGTGGACATTCTCGAGCAAAATGGCCCAACTCATCGCAATTGTAGCACCTTGTCCGCGACTGCAGATCCTGATCTGTACCCTTAACCACGTTTCTCTTGCCTTTGTTGGACTTGCCGTACTTACCGTACTTGCCCTGCTTGCCGTGCTTGCCGCGGGAGCCTTTGTCGTGCTTGGACTTGCCATAGCCTTTGCGATGCTTGACGAAGCCACGTTCTTTCCGTCGAGCTTGGAGATCACGACGTACATCCTTGTAGGCAGTGTGATAGGCCTGAATCCACGTTGCTTCCACCTCGTCGTACTCCTTGTCCTCGAAGAGCATCATATCATCTTCAAGCTCTTCGTCAGGCATGAGTTCTTCAGACTCTTCACCGCCCTCTTCGTAGGCGTAGTCGTCCTCATATTCCCACGCATCTTGATCCGCCGAAAACTGCGTGGCGAAAGCCAACTTCCCGGGACCTCCACCGACTTGTCCAATGTCCTGACCCGCTGCTTTGGCAATCATCTCTGGCCTGTCTAAGGGCCTCAAAAGATCCGCAACTTGCTGGAAGGTCAGGAATTGCGACTGGTCCTTCAAAGAAATAGGTCAGCATCTTTTCCACAGGGATGGAGTCTGCCAGGCGCCTAGGAGGGGTCTTGTCCGTGAAGCTCTGGTACAACTTCAAGCCCCAACGCAGGAGTTTCAACCATGTTCTCAATGACGAAGGATTCCCGTCCCACGCAGGCAAGCTCCTCTTTTCGCCAGATAAGGCATTCAACATGGCCTTAATCAGCTCGACTTGACTTGGCTGCGTGAGTGTCTGGCTCGATGCTCCCGGTGCTGCATTCGGCATTCCCAAAGCTGCAAAAGCTGAGTCCACCTTCTGATTGTTTGCCACGTTAGCCGGTTGCTCAAAAAGAGCTCGTGAAACTGCTGCTGCATTACCAAACTGATTTGTACCCGTAGGCAATACCGTTGCACGTGCTGCAGCATCTCCTTGATTCATACCTGAGGGAAAACCCAACGCGCGTGCTGCAGCATCTCCTTGGGCTCGTGTAAAGGTCTCTGTAGGCGCCGTAGTAGCATAAAAACCCGGAGGGGGCCTTAGGCCAGCACATCCGAAATTGGGCGGTACTCCCGGCACATTGCCCACATTGGTAAACTGTGGTCCAAAACCGGACGCAGATCCAAACTGTTGTCCCTGCTGTGGCCCGAAACCAAAAGGGAAGGATGATCCTTGAGGATTTCCTTCGCAAGGCAAACTGCCAAGGCAGGCCGAGGGATTTGATCCGCCGCCGACTTGTCCACCTTGTGCGCCTGACTGAAATTGCGCCCCGACTCCAAAACTGCCGTTCGGCATGAAGGTGCCAGGTGTAGGCATAGCGCCGCTTGCAGGTAAATTCGCCTGTACCGACCCGGCCGGCATGTTCTGACCTTGTCCATGTGCTCCCTGTGAATGAGCTCCACCTCCCTGAGGGCCTCCGACAGATGTCGGGTTGCCACAAGCCACCTGGTTCGCTAAATAAGCTGCCCAGGGGTCCATGGCGCCAGCCGGACGTTGCCGGCTCCGCTACCAACTGACAACAAAATGCTGCTATTGGCACTTGTTTTTCTAACGCATCCACGTGACTCAAGGCCTAGAAGGCAGCGGGCAGACACATGCAAGACTCCTAGGCATGTGAAATGATTCTCACACAGAGACCACGCTCCAGAGCGCCCTCGACGCAATCCTCGCGGACCTCGCCGCCCGGCAGCGGGGGAGTTGTTAACGCGCCGGCCTGGGCGGGCTTTCTCCTAACTTTTCCTTGCGAACCGAAAAGCGCCTCATCGGTAACACATGGTCTATTGCCAAGCGTTCCAACTGCAAACTTACAAAAGGTTCATCCTGATGCTACACATCATGCACATGTGGCAATCTTTCAAAGTGGCTTTTGGGGAAAAACCATGCTCGCATTTCAGTCTATACAGCTCAAGGCGCTACGCACTTGTGAAAATCCCTGGCCCTTTCATCAATATGGGAAAATTCTGGAACTCATCTCCTCTGAAGTCAACGTCTCACCAGTCATCGGATTTATACCTTCTTCCCTCAGCTGATCTGCCCACGTTGTGTCGTCCAGATAGCTACTGCTCCGGCTCATTGCTTCAGGATCTCGCCTTGCAAACTCAGCATCGCTGATCTCCTGAATTTGTCCTTTCACCACATCCAATTCATGCCATATCCAACTCATCTGTCGAGTCTCGCGGTCGTCCTCTCGCAAAGCTTGCATCTGCGAAATCATATCTTCCACACTGTAATGCAATCTCTCCAGTCTGTTCTGAAAATCGTCTCCATCTGCAATACTTCGACACCCTGCCATGCACCTCTCATACACCTTTCTCTCACGGTGCTCCAACCATTTAAGAAATCCAATACACATCAGAAATCCACACACGGCATATAGTGTCCAAATACTGCAAAACACATTCAATACATATTGCAAATGTACATACACAATCACGCTGTCTCCATGCTTCAAGCCTCCTGCCTTTTCCTGACAGCTCCAATAATAACGCAAACATCAGCTTCATATTGCATCCAACCACTGTCGCACGCTCTCTCTCAAGTCTTCTTACACTTGATTCACTCTGCACAATCACTCTGAACACATCTTTCATCGCCCTTCACCTCTGAAGAATACTCCGAATCTCCTCCAGCTCATCTGCGCCATATGGAATTTCATTCCTTGCCTAATACCAATCAGGCACGCCAAACCTTTCATCCTGGCTTGACTCAGCAACTTTGTGTTCAGATCTGCAGGGTTCAGCTCTGTAGGCACTGGCCTTTTGTCCGCGACTGCCTTCTGAAGCCACAGTGCACGGGTTGACAAGTGTCTGGTCTTCGAAACTCCAAGCCTCTCGCCAACCTGTCTTGCCGAAGAACTATCTGTCCTCACCTCCAGCTTCAGCTTCACGTCCAAAAGATACTGCATCAGATCATGAAGTAGCAGTCCTTCAGACAAGCCTGACGTCGTAGCATAATACTCACTCTCGCACGACGAAAGTGCAATAGCTCTTTGCTGCCTCACATAAGCATACATCAAACCTCTCCCGCAGAAAATCATGACTGAACTCATTGACTGTCTGCTCTCCTTGTCGCTCGCCCAATCTGCATCTGTGAAAATCTGCATGCTTGCACCCTCAGCAGGTTCTCCACCATTTGCAAAAACTGAAACACGGCTTGTAGGGCAAAAGTAAACCCACGTCCTGTACAGTTGTCAGAAATCCCACAAAATGCAGCGCTGCCTTTACCATCTTGACAGTCGGCTTCGACATCTTCTGCGCCAATCTATTGATGACCCACTGACAAAACGGCACCTCAGGGTAAATATACAAGAGCTTTCCCACAATGCTTCTGTACGCCTTCTGCTCTTCCCCTGAAACTTCCTCCGAATTGTCCTTCTCAAGGATGTCTCCCTGCGCTGGCGTCTTCCTTTCTCGCACACTTCCAAGAACTTCTGCTTGCTCAGCCAAGTCACGGAAATGTCTTGGGTCTGCTCTCACCATCAAACCATCTTCTGAAAATGAAAACTTCTTCCGCAGATATGAAAATTCATCTCCAGCATCCATGAATGGTCCTTGCACTTTGATTTCCACCTGGGCTCCAAACCGCTCCAAGAGTACATTCACCTCCTCCGGCAACCCACACATGAGCAGATCGTCCACATGCATCTGAACTCTCACCGACTCCCGGCAACAATCTGTTCAGCTCCCACATGCACCCTTCATAGCCACTGAGCTGCTGTGGCGCTGTAACAACAACTTTGCCAGGCTGTGGAACATTCAAAAATGCATCCTTCACATCCATCACGTATAAAGAAAGGCAAACCTGACTCAACTGCAACCAATAAAACTGCTCTCTGCACATTTGGACTTGTGGCCGGCGAACACAGCCCCGATCTCGTGGGGTCCTGCGCCTTGAAGTCTCTAGCCACCATTCTGCTCCTCCTGTACCATTTTGAAACCCCGCCTTCCTCGCGCTTTCTCCAGTCTCTCACAATTGTGGCGCTCATGTAGTGGGTTTCTCCATCCAGGTCTCCTTTCTCACATACAGGAATCAAAACTGCACCTCCTACAAAATTCGGTTGCTGCAATCTTTCAATCTCAGCCCTATCATGGCAAAGAAAGGAGAGCCTGGAGATAAGCCAAAGGGGATACCTCCACCACTGAGTGCGGCAGTTGCAGGACCTGTGCGTGAAGATGAGTTGATTGGGAAGCCTGCACCATCAACGCCAAGGGTGGGGCAGGATATTCCAACTACACCGGGTATGGAACCGTTGCCTGGGATAAAGAGTTCTGGAAGTGGGGTGAGCGCGCCAGCGTCACCAAGTCCAGCGAAGCGCGACGAGGAGATAGGGCTGGATGAGGTTAGCAAAAGGCCAAGACTGGAGCCTAAGAAGAAGGCAAGGTTTGAGAAGGCCGAGGAAGATTCCTCTTCGTCAGGTTTGGACACCGCTGCGGGAATGAGATATGTTCAGATGCCAGATGAGGACGCAGAGTTCATGGCGGGCATATCAGATGAAGAGTGGTGGTGGACTTGGGATAGTGAGGAGGATATTGGTGATAGAGGAAGAGTTGAGAGAAGCAGACAAAGAAGCCTTCATCCACAGCAGGTTTCAACGCAATTGCTGCTGCCTCAACTGGATCTCCATCACCCTCAGGCTCCTCAGCTGCTTCATCATCTGGTAGTCCTGCAATTATTCCAGGTACTCGCTCACGATCTCCATTTTGCAAACTCACGCCAGTAGCGCCCTCCGCATAGTCCCAGGGACTCCCCTTTGCTGAAAACACAGAAGCCTTCTGCCAAGGTTCCCCTATCTTGCGAATGGTTCTCGCATCACTTGCTCCAGAAGCTGATATCACAATGTGCTTGTTCGAGACCGTTCTTTCCAACCCACACTGCCTTCTGCCAAGGAACAAGCTTCCCTTTCACAGGGTCTGTCAAGGTCTTTGCTGCAACTGTTTCACCAAACTGTGC